TACTGAACCTAATGCACGATGTGATGGTGTTTGGTGGCGGCAACTTTGGGAGGTGCTCAGGTCCTGTGGGCGGGGGGGACCTCATGCCACTGCTCTTGTAAAGGGGCCCGAGAGGGCTCCCTTGCCCCTGTGTCATGAGAGGGCCCACCGGGAAGGTGGCCATCTGTGAATGAGGAAGCCGGCTCTCCCCTGACACCACTTCTGCGGGTGCCCTGACCTCAGTCTTCCAGCCTCTAGAGCTCTGGGAAGGGAAGTTTCTAGTTTGTAAGCCACTCCCTCCACACTTTTCTGGGACAGAGACCCAGACACCAGGCCAGTCCCCTTGCAAAGAGGCACAGAGCGTGGTCCCTGGAGATCTCAACGGTCAGCTTCAGCTGCAAACCGCCCCCCACAACCCCCGTATGACCCACCTGGGTCCTCCATGCGATCTCTATTGTCCCTGGAACAGAGAGAATAAGAGATTAATTATTTTGTGGATAACCTGGTGTTTTTGTTGTTGTTGTTGTTTTTTAAGATTTTTATTTATTTGACAAGCAGAGATCACAAGTAGTCAGAGAGGCAGGCAGAGAGGGGGGCGGGGAAGCAGGCTCCCTGCTGAGCAGAGAGCCCGATGTGGGGCTCGATCCCAGGACCCTGAGATCATAACCTGAGCGGAAGACAGAGGCTTTAACCCACTGAGCCACCCAGGCGCCCCTGGGTAACCTGTTCTTAATTTAGCAAAAACAATTTCTTGGCCATGAGCCTTTAGCATGAAGATAATACTCAAGTGTACAGATTTGGTAATAATAACTTGTGCGCTAAGAGTCGAACCCAGCCAGGCCAGCAGACGGCTGCTCCTGGGCTCTCCAGGATGCACAGAACAACGGAGGGATTAACGGTTAGGGTGAGGTCTCACTTCACTATGGGACTTGGGCTCCTTGTGAGCTGGTCAGAATTCTCATTTTCAGGGGCTCTGTACACTTTGTAGGCTCCTTACTCTGGGGGAAAATTATATTTTTACAAATGTATTGGTATCAAAATGAATACAGCAACTACAAATACGTTCTTCAACCTAAAATTTCCATCTTTTTCCTTCTGATTTCAAAACATTTTTCAGGGCCCCTGGGTGGCTCAGTGGGCTAAGCGTCTGACTCTTGATTTCAGCTCAGGTCACGATCTTGGGGGTCCTGAGATGGGAGCCCGGCTAGGGGTCTGGCAGAGCGGGGTCTGCTTCTCTCCTTTTGCCCCTCCCCCCACTCTAACTCGCTCACGAATAAGTAAATCTTTCAAATAAAACATTTTTAGGGGCCTTTGTGGTGGGCTGGATGGTGGCCTCCAAAAGGTAAATCCAGGGGCGCCTGGCTGCCTCAGTCCCTGAAGGAAGCGACTCCCCACCTCCGGGTTGTGAGTTCCAGCGCCACCTTGGGCAGCGAGATTTTACAAAGTCTTTAGGGGAAAAACCAGTAAGTCCCTGCCCTAATCCCTTGCACGTGGATCTTCCCTCCTGCCGCAAAGATGGGACTCGGTGAGGGCTGGAGAGCTTATCCCGGGTTACTCCGCTGGGCCTGAAATGCAGTCCCACCTCTCCTCGTGCGGGGCAGCGGGGGCTCGGGGACCGCGGTCCGGGGCAGGGGTCAGAGGCCAGCGGCGCGACGCAGCCACGAGCTGGAGGGCGCAGGGAGGGCCGCTCCTGCAGCGCAGCCCGAAGGGGTGCGGACGGGGTCACAGCTCGCCTTCCCCGGTGGCCGAGACGGACGGCGAGTCTCTGGAGCCCGGCCCCGGCCCGCCGCGAGGGCGCAGCAGCCCCAGCAGGTGCGCGCTGGCTCGGGGCGCCCCGCGCCTTCCAGGGAGGGCCCCCGGCCCCCGCCCGCACTCTGGCGGTTACCGCCACTGGCGGCCAGGGGCGTGCGGGCTCGGAGCGCTTCGGGAGAAGAGCGCCCCGGCCGCCGCCCGACCGCGGCCGCGCAGACCCGGACCCGAGGCCCAGGCGCCCCGCGGCCGGTGCCGGGACCTCACGTCCGCAGGGGCGGCCCTTCCGGGGGGACGCGCCCGGCTTCCCTGGTGAAGCCCCATTGGGCCAGGTTGAAGCCCAGGCGCGAGCCAATCGGCGCCGGAGGGTTGCGGTGTGCGGCGTGCTGACTGGCTGAGGCCGAGGTCGTGGGCGGCTCCCTGGCGAGGCTCGCGGGCGAGGTGCGCGCGCGGCCCGGAGCTGGAACCGCGGGTGCGGAGCTGAGCACCTGCGCGCTCCCGAGCGAACGGGGGTGCGCGGGACGGTCGCCCCAGGCCCGCAGGCGCCCCCGCTGTGAGGCCTCGGGGGGCGGGGTGTCGGCCAGCCTCTAGGATCTCCGTCTCTGCCTTCTTAAAAAGATTTTACTTATTCATTTGAGACCGAGCATGAGCACGGGGTGGGGGCGGGGCGGGGCGGGGAAGCAGGCTCCCCGCTGAGCAGGGAGCCCCACGGGGGGCTCATCCCAGGACCTGGAGATCATGACCTGAGCCCAAGGCAGACGCTTACCCATCCGAGCCTCCCAGGCGGCCTCCATCTCTGCTTAAGACTCTGTTCCCGGGCCTCACCGACTCCCTCCGCCTGTGGCTATCACCTGCGGGCCCACGCACGAGGCACCCGCATGCCGGGTCTGGGGCTCATAAAACGACACTCGGTCCTCATATTACAAGTTCGGGACGCGGGTGCTGGCTGCACGGCTGGGGAGACCGAGGCATGGAAACGCACTGCGGCTGTCCACAGCGGGGGAGCTAGTCGGTGGGGGAGCTAGGGTTGTCGTCGGGGCCTCGACCTCCGCAGTCTTTGCGTGAAAGGACCCGTTCTTGTCCTCAGTGAGTGCAAGCTGCAGTAATGATGGAAGGGGAAACCCTTGAGTTCTTTCTCTCTGACCCCCTCTGTTCCCCGTGCATGTCTGGTTCTCTCCCGTCTCTGCACCTCTCCTTGACTCTCTCCCTGATCCTAGGACCCCTTTCCCACCATTTTTTACATCCTTCTCCTACTCACTTTTAACCCCCGGCTGAAGACGCATCTTCCCCTCTTGAGCCTCAACTTGATGGTGCCTCCGATGTACCAAGTCCAAATCCGTATTCCAGCTCTGACCCCTCCCATCTGGGTGCTTCTCTCTTCCCCCACCCCACCTCCCTCCCTTTTCCGTGTCTGATCATGTGCGCAGAGGCTAAGGGCCATCCTTTTGTAAGGAAGGATTTCAGACTTTAGAATGACAAAAGTGATTATGGGATATTTTTCAGCAGAACTCAGGGGCCTCTGGTAATCATTTGATTCCATGGGCTAGAGTTTTTGCCCACACTCTCTCATACTTCTGAAGAAATCAGACGGCAATGCAAGTAATTCTTGTCCGTAGGTATACAAATTAGCTGAATGGAGTGAAATACAGTTGACTCTTGCCCTGTGGATAGACTGGTTTTGCATATTCATTTCAGCGGTCCCTTGGCTTCTCCTAGAAAAGCTGGAACACCTTATTGCTTCATTCATTATTAAGTTACATAACATCTTTGACATGTGTTCATTTTACAGGTATATGTGTAGGAAAGTCACTTTATGTTTTAAAATTATCCTTTGACACCTGACATCTCCTTTGCCATCCCTAATCCATCCAAATCTGACAATTTAACTTTCTCAATGTCTCTTGTATCTACTCTCAGTCTCTCCATCTTACCTGCTACCACAAGTTTGCCTTAACTGGTTGTCCCAGGCTCCTACCTGTCTTCCCATGGATTCCCCACAGAGAAGCTAGAGGGATCTCATTGTAATCGAAACTTTATGATGTCTCTTCTCTGCTTAACTTCCTCTAAGGACTTCCCATTTATTTTAGAATAAAGACCAAGGTCCTTGCTGTGCCCCGCCTATCTCTACATAACCTGGCCCGGTCTTATCCCACTGCCACGCTTCATCACTGTACTTTTTCTACCCAACTTTTTTTGGTTCCTCTGCCTCAGGGCCTTTGTACACGTTGTTTTCTCCGCCTGGAAAATTCTTCCCTCCTGACCTCCTTACTTCTACTGACCTTCACATCTTGGTGCAAATGTTAATTGCCCAAAAGAATCCTTCTCTGATCTCCTGGGTGAGTTAAGGTCCCAAATTCTCCCCAGTACAATTTCTTTTCTTTTTCTTTTTAAAATATTTTATTTATTTATTTGACACAGACAGACACAGAGAGAAAGGGAACACAAGCAGAGGGAGTGGGAGAGGGAGACGCAGACTCCCCGCCGAGCAGGGACTCCCTATGTGGGGCTCCATCCCAGGACCCTAGGATCATGATCTGAGCTGAAGGCAGGCGCTTAAGGACTGAGCCACCCAGGCGCCCCGCCAGTACAATTTCACAACACTTTTGACTTTCTCATAGCATTTATCTTGTTTCCTAATTATGCGTCCGTGTGATGATACCTGACTTCCCTTCTAGGCTGGAAGGGCCCTGAGGACAAGGTCCATGTTTATCCTGCTGACTCTCTATTCTTGCTACATATGTGGCCTTCTCCGGGTGGACAGATGGTGGACGGGTGGGTGAATGGAGAGCGGAAGGAGGGACGGAGGCGACGGATGATGCTCCGGTGGGTGGGTGGATGGAAGATGCGGGTCATGGATGAAGGCGGGCAGATGGGTGGGCGGGTGGAGAGGATGCATGATGCGTGGCTGGGCGGGCGGAAGAAAGGACGGTGGGTGGACGGGTGGACGAGGATGCGTCCCCTCGCTGACTGACCCCTGCAGCCCCCTCCTGGGAGTCCACCTGGCCTGGCGCGTTTCCCCTTCTCACCCCGGGCAGTGCTAGGGATCCCAGCGCACGCCCTGGGAGCTTCCGCCCCGGCGCAGGCCGAGCGGGCGCCCCGCACTCATTCCGCGGGGAGTCGCCTGCATCCTCCGGCCGAGCTCGCGCGGCCGCCGGCGGAGGGCGCGGCCGGTGCCACGTGGGCGCGGGAGGCGGCTCCGGCCAGACGAGACTCACCGCCCCGCTCCCAGGGCGCCCGCAACCCGCCGCCCCCCATCTCCGGAGGGCGCGGGGCGGGGCCTCGCCGGGACCCGGATGCGGCCCCGCCCCCGCCGCGGAACCGGAAGTGGAGCCGGGCGCCCGGGAACAGCGGGCGCGGCGGGTCCAGGGCCGGGCCGGGACCGACGGACGCCAGGCCGCGGTGAGCGAGCGCGGCTTCCTCGGCCGTGCTGCAGGGCGGGAGGCCCGGCTCCTCTGCCGGCTGCCCTGGGCGCCGCCAGCCCCGGAACGGGAAGGAAGCGGCGGTCGCTGCGGTCTCGCCGCGCTTCCGCTCGCGGTTTCGGGCGGGGGCGGGGGCGGGGGGGCGCGGGCCGGTCGCTGGGCTGCGAGAGGAGGGCTGCGGGCCCTGAGCGGGAGCGGCTGGGGCTGCGGGGAGAAAGGGGGCCGGAGGGTCGTCGGTCTGAGTGCGGCGTGCTTGGGCCCCGGTGGGGAGTGGGTGAGAGCCGAGGGACGGAGACCGGGGGTCTGCCCGGGGTCGGGTCGGCCGAGGTCCGTTCGGCCCGCGTCGGAGGGGCCGGGAAGGGCCAGGGTCAGGCGGGGCGGGGCCGGGGTCCGAGGGGCGGGGTCTGGCGGGGAGAGGCCGAGGAAGGGCCGGGGTCGGGCGGGGGAGGGAGGCCTGGAGCCCGAGGAGGGCCGGGGTCGGGCGGGGAGGGGCCGGGAGTCGGGGGCACCTACCGGGAAGTTCTGCAATCAGGTCAGTGGGAATGCAGCGACACGCGCAGCTGCGGCTGGTCGAGAGGCTCTAAATTTGGAGCAGCCCCTCCTCTGGGGGTGTTGGAAGTCACCAGAAGGGTTCTTTTGGGCTGGTTGTTTCCGTGTCTTGAATATTATGGGAGCTCGATCGCCCTGCTGGAGGGTCGGGAGAAGAGGGGACAGGGCTTCCTGAGACTGGAATCTGTGGGGGAGTGGGGCCTCTGAGGGAGGAATCCCATTTTCCGCTGACCGCAGCTCCGGAGGCATCCTGAGTGGGCGTCCCCTCCCAGAGACCGCCCTGCCAGCGCCCCATTTGGGCTGCGTGGACTTGGCCCCGCTGTGCTTTGTCAGGGGTTAACCCCCTGCGTTCTGGCGTCTGGTCTGGCCCAGCGGGCCCAGGGCTGGGAAGGGCTGTGCCTTGGACAGGCGCCCGTTGTCCCTGCCTCCCTCTGACCGTGGGGTGAGTCACTGCCCCAGTGCTTGGAGGCAGCCCGGTCTTAGAAAACCAATCCCAGATTTCCCCCGGAGCAGGAAGAGTCCTAAAGGACGCTTTCCAGTGCTCCGGAATAAGAATAAAGAGGGAGGGGGCTGCAGGATTGTTTCTGATCCTTTGTCTCCCAGTGGCTGCCCCTGACTTTTGGGCGGGTCATTTTGAGGGGCTTCTCTTTAAAGCCCGTCTGAGTGGTTCCGATGGGTGATTCAGACCTCCTTGGGTGCCGGGCAGCCCAGGGAGGTGCTCAAAAAGGGCGTGGTGGAGGGCCTGAGTCCTCGGGAGCACCAGGACTGGCTGGGGAGCACCGAGACTGGCTAGGGAGCACCGAGACTGCCTGGTGGTGCGGGATGCCAGGCATCCCCAGCGGCTGCAGGGTGTGGGCTCCAGCCCTGGCCTAGTCTTTCAGGTTTGTGGGGGTGCAGGCCGGTGGGGAAGCAAGCCCAGGCGCCAGGGGCTTTTCTCTGGGGAGTGCGGTGTGAGGAGTGGCCGGCCGTGCACAGCTAGGGCCTTCTGGTTCAGTCTGCTGCTCTGCTGCTCTGCTGCGCTGGCCATAGTGACCTTAATGGGAAGCCAACTCTGTCCTGTCATCTAGAACTTTGTCCCATAGAATGTTCCCCTCGGTTTATATGGTGGCGCATGGTGATGTCACCCTTGTGCGGTCTTGATGAGTACGTGTGACGTGTGACGTTTGCAGGGAAGGTCCGTTGATGGTGAGGGGTGTATTTTGGTAACAGTTTTATTGAGGTGCAGTTCATACACCGTATAATTCACCCGGTTACAGCGAACAATTCAGTCGTTTTGTAATACATTCAGACTTGTGCAACCATCAGCACAATCGACTCGAGAGTAATTTTATCCCCTCAAAAGGATCCCTGTTCCGTCCTTCCAGTATAGGTAGCCGCAAATCTGCGGTTGTCTCCCTAGACTTGCCAGTTCTGGACATTTCATGTGAAGGAGATTGGCTGATATGTGGGGTTTTGTGTCTGGCTTCTTTCCCTTCGCATGTTCTCAAGACTCGCTCGTGCTGTAGCGGGTGGTCAGGTCCCTCTGTGTTGCCAGATAACATTCCAGCACGAGTGGGTCACGTGGACCTGCTGCATCACGTGGGCGCTGGCCTTGTTTGTGCTTTTTGGCCCTAAAGAAGAATCCTGCCGGACCGTTCCCGCACGAGGTTTTGTGCGGCCGTAAATTTTCCTTTCTCTTGGGCCTGCCTCTTGGAGTGGGGACTGCTGGGCCAGTGGTGACTGTGTGTCACCTTTCGCCGACCTGTGGCTCTGTTACTCGTTTTCCCTCGCACCAGCACTCTGGGGCGGCTCTGGGGCCCGCACCCCGTCTCACTCGATACTGTCTGGTGTTTCGTTTCAGCCTCAGAGCTCACTTGGGGGTTTGATTTGCATTTCCTTCACGGCTGATGCTCCCTCCTATCTTGTTGTGAGCTCAGCAGCCGTTTACGCCTCTTTGAAGAAACGTCTGTTCAGATCTTCCCACCTGGTTTTACAACGTGGTTAATTGTCCTGTTTGCTGTTGAGTGTCTGAGTTCTTTATTTCGGGTATATGATCTGGAAACATTGTTTTCTCCTGTTCTGGGAATGGTCCTGAGTCTCTTGCCGCTGTCTCTTGAAGCAAAACCTTTCAGTTTTGTCCAATTTCTCTGTTCTTTCCTCTTCTCCCCTGTGCTTCTGGTGTCACATCTAAGAGCTGTCGCCAAATTGAAGGTGATGAAAATCTACACTGATGTTTTCTTGCGACAGTTTAATAATGGAAGCTTAGATTTGTGTGATCTCTGACCTGTTTTGGGGTTAGTGTTTGTATATGGTGTGAGGTAGGGCACCAGAAGGATTATCTTTGGGTCCAAAAAAAGACCCAGGCTTTTACATTCTCAGTTATTGTTGTGATTTTTTTTTTTTAATTGAAAAATTTGAGGGGGTGGTAAGTGTGGACTTGGGTCTGTCCCCGGCTGCCCTTGGGTGGATTTTTACAGGTGCTCGCCGATTACGGTAATAACCTCAGCCCCTAGCACGTACTAAGCAGCCTACAGAAGTTAGGGTCTCCAGAGGGGACTGAGAAGAGAGGAGGAGTGAATAGTAGCATCAGGAACACAATAGGGAGTGTAGGGAAGGCTGGCAAAGCATCATCCGTCCAGTTCCTGACGTGGGACAAGGCTGGGTGCCGACACAGGCAGCTGGTGCTTCGGAATGGCTTGTTCCTAGGCGCAAGGGGACCAGGTTCCTCGGCTCTGGGATGTCTGGCAGTACAGTGCCAGTGGGAGTTGTCTCGGGAGAGGGTGGTGGAGAAGGTGGTGCGGTGGTGGCCCGAGGCGCTGGAGTCTTGATCCCCGTGCTACCGGTAACCGTACCCACGCATCGCAAGCGCCGCCCCCTTCTCATACCGGTGACCGTCACCATGTGGCTTTTGTCTCCAGCCACACACGATCCCTTCAGAGTTTTCCTTATGTTATTATTTTCTTAAACTCACAGTAATAGGATTTAGGGTTTTGAGCAAAGGCATAATTTAGAAGGAGCAGAAAACGGAGACATGTCAGGGTGGTAGCCAGCAGGAGACGTCTGCGAGCGATTGCCGCGGTCACCGTTCGCACGGGGAAGCAGCTCCACGCGGCTGTGAGTCCTGTGAAGCTTGCTGTTTTCTGTGTTTTCTCTGTGTGTCTGAAAGTCGAGCTTTTACGTTGGTCAGCTGCGAATCTTGCCGCCCTCCTTTCAGGCTTCCTTACAGAGCCTCGCGCAGCGGGGGAGGACGGCAGAGGTTCCCGGAAGGACCCGTGCGCGGGGCTCTGCCCAGACTGGCTGCTTCTGAGCTTTCTGCCCTTCGTCTTTTCGCAGACAGAATCACTCCCAAATGCTGGAAATTCCTCGCAGGAGCACTGGCTTTCCACAGGGACCCCTGAGCAGCCTTTTGTCGCCAGCCGGAAAGAAAGGTTTGTACCCCGTGAGCGTTCTCACCTCGTCTCCCCTCGGACGGTCGGGGTGGCTCCCCGGGCAGGGAGGGGAGTGTTCTCCCTTTGGGTCTGCGGAGGTGGGGACCATCATTTTCTGGAGGAAATGTTGCTTAAAAAGTAAAGTCAAGGGGCGCCTGGCCGGTTCCGTCAGAATAACATGTGACCCTTGATCTTGGGGTCTGGGGTCGTGAGTTCGGACCCCCATGTTGGGTGTGGAGATTACTTAGAAATAAGTAACGTGAGTCGGCCTAGTTTCCAGTGTTGCCTATGGTTGAAAGAGAAGGGGGTTCCAGACGTCTCTGGAAGCCTCTCTGTTCTGGGAGGAGCCATCTGGCCTCTTGGATCTGTGCGGTGGAAGGTGGGAGGAGCTGCCAGGCAGGGTGTCAGGAAGCAGGTGCCAGCGCTCACCCTGCCCCCAGGAGGCTGGCTTCCAGAAGGACCTGTGAAGGTTGGCTCTGCCGTGTTCTCCGCGTGAGTCCACGACAGCAGCAGCGATGACCCCTTTCACCTTTGCCTGAGGAGGAAAGGTAGCCTCACTGACCCTCCCCGGAGACCCTGTCCTTCTGTGTGAACATGTCCTCAGTGGCTGTACCCCTGGGCAGCTGACGCCCCACAGTTGTGGCCCCTTCTACTGTGGTGACATACGGGGCACGTTTGACTGGGAGAGGCAGACTGGGGCAAATGAATTTTCAGGTGGCTGTCCTTGCGTTTGTAAGTGGGCGCATGGGGACGGGGCGTATCTGGTTGCTCCTCCCAGGGCTGAGCGTTTAGTCTGTTTTTTTCACTAAACTCGTGTCAAAAGCAGATTATATCTGCGAAACTCTTGCCGTACCTGGGACAGCCGGACAGAGGGGAGCAGGGTTCGTGGTGGCCTTGAAGGGACTGCGTCGGTCCTGCCTTACCCGGGAGCAGACTTGGCTCAGGCGACAGTGACAGGAGTCGCATCTGGGAACTTGAGAGTGCTGTCACGCGCCCTCATTGCCGCCTTGAGTTTGGACTTGAGGCCCAGCAGAGCTGGGGTCAGGGGTGGGTCCAGACGGGAGGTTCTTGGGCTCCTGAGGGGCTTCCGTCCTGTTTGAGTTCAAGCCACAGAAGCTTTCGGTTGATCGAGTTAAAATAATCTCCCAGGTGCTTCCTGGCTCGGGGGAATTTTATGAAATCTTCTGGGGAAGACGGGTCCGCTCTTCTCAGACCTCGTTTTCTCTTGACACCATTAAAGGTTGAAAGGTTAGAGTTTACCTTTGTGGTTAGGAAAAGCCTCTGCTGCCCCGCCGTGAAGCCGTCATCCTCTGTGCCAGGTGAAACCGTTGCTGGGGCGGAAAGGCCACCTCCCGTCCTCCGGGCTGCCCGGGGCAGGAAAGGTTGGCAGTTCGCGTCCTGGCTGCGTCCCCATGTAGATGGTGAGGGACCCTCGTAAATCACGTGGAACATTTATTCACTTGCCAGAGGCTGAGCTGAGGAAGCACTTGCATGTCCACTAAGCAATAGAAAGCAAAACGGGTAGTCTGTTTGCTTTTTTTTTCTTTTTGCGGGAGGGACGGGTTCTTCACGACGTAAGTGCACGCGTGACATTTTTATTTTCCCGAAGATGTTCTCACTTGAACTGAAGGCGGCATGTTCTGACGCCTGTTTCGGATGCCCCTTGAGAACAGGGCTAGAAACACAGTATTCTGTTCCTTTCCTTTCTCGTGTTGGGGTCCATGCGGGGCAGGTGACCCCTGAGCCGGGCTGCAGTCGGGGTGCCGGGGGCCGCCTGCTCAGCCCCGTGACCCCGCGCACTGCTCTTCCAGATGTGGAAGGCTTCGGCAGGCCACGCCGTGTCCATCACCCAGGACGACGGGGGCGCCGATGACTGGGAGACCGACCCCGACTTTGTGGTACGAGCCTCCATCCCGCCGCCGCCGTACTGCTCCCGAAAGCGGCTTTCCTCCGCGCATCCCCGGGGTCGTGGGGAGTCCGCTGATCGTGTCTTCTTCTTTTTAGAACGACGTGAGCGAGAAAGAGCAGAGATGGGGGGCCAAAACCGTGAAGGGGTCTGGGCACCAGGAGCACATCAAGTAAGAGCCTGTTGGGGTGAAAACGGTCCCCTGAAAAGCGGACAGCAGTTGGGCCGGGGGCCCTGGCCTCTGTCCCTCACGCAGTCCCTCCCTCCATTCAGTGCGGGAGACTAGGGTAGGACACGGTGATGTACTTCGTGTGTGTGTGTGTGTGTGTGTGTGTGTGTGTGTGTGTGTGTGTGAGCTCACAGATGCGGCGACTTCAAGTTCCTGCTGCGGACGAGTCCTTCATTTGCAATTCTGGTGTCCACTCTCTTGCGGGAGGACGTGGTCCCCTGCATCCCCTCTGCCAGTGGCCCGTCTCTGACACGCACAGTGTCCTTGAAATTCATGCCTTAGACCTGAAACACCGCCCCACCCCTGCCATGACTATTACAGTTTTACTCTTTTATCACGGGCCTTTGGGTCCTGGATTCTAAGCACTGTTCTCGCGAAAAGCCCAAAATAGGGGAACTGAGTGATCACTGTTGTAGGAGAACGTGGCCTTGGTCCCGACTCGACCCTGTCTTGACCTGTTCCCTCTCTGGGTGGTGTTTCCTTGTCAGGAAGTGTAGCTAAACCCGACTTTTAAAATGTGTTCAGACTTTTGCGTAGGCCGCACTGGCTTCAGAACGTCCCTCTCGCTCCCTGTCCGTGAAGGACTGTCCCTGCCCGGGTGACCCCTGGGACCCTTTGCATCATTGGTCCTGCTTGGCCCCACTGTCTCTCAGGAAGATGAGGCCCTTCTTGGCTGAGAGAGTCGGTAAATCATCCATAGAAGAGGATGCAGCCCGTGGTGTGGGCATTTTAGACACGAGTGTCCATTCCTCCCTGACTTGCTGGGCCCGCACCCTCCACAGAAGACCCAGGAGGACGTCGAGGGAGGTCCCCGGGCCTGCCAGGAGGGGAGCCAGCACTGTCGTGCGTCAGGCCGTCTCCCCAGTGCGTTAGGTCACCCGTTCTTCTCCTCGTTCTCTCTGTTCCCGTGGCTTTGAGACCTGTTGGCCATCGCCGGCATTCTCTGGTGGAGCAGCCTCCGGGATGGTTCCAGGGGCCCTGGGGTCCTTCCGGGGGTGAGGAGCAGTGTTCTTCCTCTTGCTCCTGAGGGGGGCGGGTTTGTGCCACTTGTGGTCTGATGGGGACAGCTGTAGATACTCCCTGACCTGCCAGGCTTTGACCACAGCTTGTGATCTGTTTGATGATCCCCAGTATTTTCTGGTAAAAAGTGGCTTTGGATGATAAATCTGAAAGTCTTTCATTTCACTTTTGAATATTTCCAAAGCTGGAGTATTTCAAGTAAAGGGACACTGTTGAAATGTTTTGCCTCACTGTCTTGGACCAGTGTCCTCAGTGTGTCTGGGGTAAGGGACTGCTGACTTTGTTTCCCCTTCTGCCTTGGGTGGTGTTCACAGAACTGCTTTTCCTGGTGCTGTTACCTGATGAAGCAGAACCTTTTCTCCGTTTGAGAGAAGGTCCACGTCTCGGGGTAGCTACTCGGGGGGTTTGGGATGCCTTGTAGGTGTGCACATTGGTTTCTTCTCCCCCTTAAGCTTAAGCTGCTGGAGCAGGTGGGCCGGCTGGCGGAGGAGTCAGGAAAGTGTGATGAAGTCTGGGACTTGGGGGGCCAGAGTCACGAGATCATAGGGGTACGAAGGTGACGTCTCTCGTCCTCGTGTGTCCTCCTTGAAGGCGAGGGTGTACTTCTGTTCCGTTGGTTTGCTTTCATTTCCTCTCTTCCCTTAAAGCATACACAAGCTGAGAGAGAACGTTTTTCAAGAACATCAGACCCTCAAGGAGAAGGAGCTTGAAACGGGACCGAAAGCCTCTCACGGCTATGGAGGGAAGTTCGGCGTGGAGCAGGACAGGATGGACAAGGTGAGGTGCGGCCGCTGCGTGTCTGTTCTCGGCTGGCACGTGGTCGGGCGAGAAGGGGCTCCGACCTCCTTGGGTTAAACGTTTGCAGTTGGTGTCTTGGAGCTGGGGTTTGCCCAGAAGTCATCCTCTGTTGGCTGACCTGACTCCCGCTCTTCAGAAGCTGCCGGAGGGTCTCACGGTTGCTGGGGTATGGGGACGCGTAGGGTGGCCTGCCCCGGGACCCAGACAGAGCCCAGAAGCCTCTTTACCGCCGGTGTTGCCGTGACCGCCACACGCCCTTCAGCTTGCTGCCTAACCCGGACCAGCCTGCTGACCGGGACCAAGTCTGGGGTTGCCCTGGTTTCACGCCACAGGCGAACGATGAGCCCCGTAGGTGTGCTGACATCTGTCGTGCGTGATGAACCGCACGTGGGAGTCTGGCGCTCCGTGAAACAAGGGCCAGGCAAGATCGCTCCATCTGAGAACAGTGGCCAAGCCTCTCCCGAGCTGTCACTGGTTGAGTTCAGGAACCTGGCGACATGGTGTCAGCCTTGTTGACTGAACGGATCAGGCTTTGTCAGCAGTTTGCGTCTTCTGTGTCCCGAGGGGGAGCTGGTGGTGCAGGAGAGGACAGAGCAGGGGCTGGTGTGTCGCAGGCTTCTCCCCTGAGACGGTTCTTCACATTCTCCAGACGTCCCTGTAGACGCGAGTTTCCCAGGCTCCTCAACGTGAGATTGCTGTGACCTGCTGGTGTCTGCCCACATCCTGTGTAGAGGGGAGGCCGTTGGCAGGGGGGAGGCTGTTGGCCGGGGGGAGGCCGTCGGCAGGGGCGTGTTCTGGTTCTGGTCTGTAATTCCAGACCTGCCTCCCCTCCCGTCCCCCTCCGCGCGCACGGATTGGATTCAGTTTCTGAGCGGACATGGAATGCCACCGCGGGGTCACAGTGTACCGTGCCACACCGTTTTACCACAGAGTGGGTGGGCAGGGGGGCCTATGGGCTCCCCAAACGAGGTCCGAACTTCGCCTAAGCTGGAGTTGGACCAAGTGTGAGCCGCAGGAAAGACACGGACACTTCCTGGTGTGACACTCATTCCTGGAGATGTCTGGACAGGGAAAGCGGGCAGCGGAATGATCTATGGATTTTTTTTTTAAGATTTTATTTATTTATTTGACAAAGAGACCGCAAGAGAGGGAACACAAGCAGGGGGAGTGGGAGACGGAGAAGCAGGGAGCCCGATGGGCTCGATCCCAGGACCCTGGTATCATGACCTGAGCCAAAGGCAGATGCATAACGACTGAGCCCCCCAGGCGCCTCTAATCTTCAGATTCTAAAGAAGAGCCTGGTGGCTTTTTGCAACGCAAACACACAACCACCACGTGCTCAGGCCAGTGAAAGAATCCGGTCGGTAGAAGCCTTTCCCACCCCGCACGAAGCCTGTGCGCATGGGGCTGTGGGCAGTTGGGAGAGAAATGAATGATTAGTTTGGGACCTGGGTCTGGGTTGGAAAGATGACACCCGGGGGAAAACAAGGTGTTAAGGAAGCTGGATGGCAGGAAGAACCTGGCGTTCACTTCTGGCTTCTCTGCTGCTGAGGGACTGCGCCTCCTGCCCGCTCAGCACCTTGGCCTCAGGCCTTTCTAGTTGAGAAGCTTCCCTAAGGAGTGTCCTCTTCCCCACTCTGGCCAGCCCGCAGCGCCCTTCCCCTGTGCCTTCTCCCTGTTGTCCTCTGTGCCCCAGAGGCTCTCTGGGGCCGGCGCCTGTCCTCACCTCGTGCCTGGCTGGCCGCCGTGAAGGTGCCCAGGGATGTCTTCTGAGTGCCTGGGTTGTACGTCCCTGGCCTACGTGCTAATCATCCCCAGATGGCTCAGGGCAGCCCCTTCGTGCCAGTGCAGCCTGTGGGGCCCCTTGAAGAGGAGCCGGGGGTGGGTGCTGATGGGGCTCGGGTTCCTCCGACCGTGCCTCGCCGCGCACTTCGGCGAGGTTGCTTGCGGCTCCGGGGGCACGGTTGAACCTGTTGTCAGAAAGAACGAAGATCCCCCAGCCCAGTCACTCTTACTTGTAACTTGTTCTCTCCAGACGTTGGAAAAAGCCCTAAGTCCTAAGGTCTCTGTTAACAGTTGAGGGCGATGCAGTAGAGACTTTCGGGAGTAAGACCCACCTCAGGCAGGCACGGATTGGCCAGAGGCATGTGGCCTGGGCCGTTGGGGCAGCCGCCAGCCCCTGTCTGCTCGGCTCTCGGGCCCCCGCCCTTCGCTCGGGGTCGAGCTGGCCACAGCCACACCCCGGGACCTGGAGTGTGCGTCCAGGCGGCGCCCTGCCCAGTGCTGAGCTCTAGTCACGAACATGACTTCGTCAACCGGGTAAATCTGTGTGGATAAAAAGGTTGAGAAAAATTGCCAAGCTGTCACTCTGGCTACGTTTTTAGGAAAGTCTTAAAACCTCTTTCACTTCTTCTGGTGCGATTCATGCTGGGGGACCCCTTCGGAAGGCTGCCCCTCCGGGCTGCTCTGTCAGCGCTTTCTGGCCAGGGACCCTGCAGGCCGCGGCATGTCCCGGAGCTTGTCTGTCAGTACTGAGGTTGAGCAGACTCGGGGTGCGGGCGGTGGTAGCGCAGCCCCGGAGCTTCCAGGAGGATGCTGCTCCTTCCCCTGGGATATGGCGAGAACGGACTCCTGAGTTGCCCACGGAGGGTCTGCGGTGGGGCTGACCCTGCTTTAGTTCAGCCTGAACCAGGGCATCCTGTGGAGCCCCACAGATGAGCGGCAGGTGATTGTGGGGTGCTTCCTGGGTGGTGTGACGGTCGGAGCTAGAAGGAGGGCTCAGATGTGCTGTCCCTGTGCTGTGTCCCGTGACCCCGCTGTCCATGGTCCTGTCCATTCTGGGGGCGGTGCTGGCGGTGCTCGGGGCTTGGTAGTAAATGTGTTCAGCTTTGCAGGCCGTGGGGTCTCGGGCAGTTTCCAGAACTTGGTGGCTGAGTCTCGGAAGTGGCCTCAGGATATAAGTGAGCAGATGTGGCCGTGTTCCAGAAGCTTTGTTTACAGAGCGCTGGCTGGTCGGTGTGGCCCAGAAGCCCAACTGATAGGGTCTGTAGCAAACGGCACGGTGGGCAGAGGGTGGCTGAGTCTGCCTCCTTCCCCGAGGGCCATGAAGGGACACGGTGGCAACTGCTCCTTGCCTGGACAGGGCGCTCGCTCGGTACTAGTGGCTGGACATGTGTCCTAACAGAAGCATGCTGTCTGCGGCTCTGTCCCTTAGAGTATTTTTGGTTCCTGGTCTCATGTCACACTTTAGTGGAGCAAGTGACTGTCGCCAGCAGTCTCCGTGGGCAGGCTGGATGTCGCAGGCCGGGTTTGGGGAGGAATTGACAGCAGGGTCCTTGCCTTGTCCCCGCTGCGTCCAGAGGTCCCACCTGGCAGGGTCTCAGGCAGCTCTGGGCACCCCCTCCGCCGGCGTTTGTGTGCGTTTTGGGGAGGAGCCCAGCCCGGGCTGTGAGGGCTGGCACAGCCAGCAGTCACTGCCCCCTCCGCGCCCCGTTGCAGTCGGCCGTCGGCCACGAGTACCAGTCGAAGCTCTCCAAGCACTGCTCCCAGGTGGACTCCGTTCGCGGCTTTGGAGGCAAGTTTGGTGTCCAGGTGGACAGAGTTGACCAGGTGAGTGGGGGACGTGGGAGCCAGCACGCGGCGATCGGGCCACTCTGTCCAGACCGTGGCGTCCACGGGACTGTCACCGTAGCACCAGGTGGCTCCGACTCCGCATTGCCAGGTGGGCGTCCTGAGGGCAGGATTCCTGGAAGAACCCCCAGCGCCCCCCACACCCCGGGCCTCGGAAATGGTTGGCTCGCTGGGCTGAGGACATGAGGACAGGAACCGTTCAGGATTGTTTTTGCTCTTGTGGGGGCAGTCCTCTGTGTTGCTGTCGCGTCATCAGATGGACCAGGAACAGCCTCACATTTGCCTGAGAATGTCCTGGGACCCTGTCATAGCCACCCACGCTGCATGGACGTCCCTGTGACACGGGAGAGCCCCGCCCCCAACCCCCGCACCCATTTCCAGAACTAAGGCCTGGCGTCCAGGTGTCACCCAGGCCTCGGCCTGTCCCCGATTCTCTGACTGAGCCCTGCCAGCATCTTTGCTCTCTGTCATAGCCCGGAGAGCCTGGGCTGTGGGCCCGCACCTCAGTCTGCATTCAGGCTTTGCTCCGTGAGCCGTGGGTCTGTGTTAACTGTAAAATGGGGTGATGGTGCCTGCCTGTCCCAGGGCTGTGGGTGCAGATCCCCCCCGCCCCCATTCTCACGCCTGATGTCCGTGTTACTCTCAGAAGAGCTCACGTGGAAAGCGAGGTCACGGCGGCAGTGGGAGTTGTCCCAGGCTGGCATCGGGCAGAAATCCACGAGCGGAACTTGCCCACGTGACCCAGTGCACGTTTCGTGGCCCGACACACGTCAGACACCTGAGCTTTAGGCTTTGGTTAGACCTGCACCTGGGTTAAGTAATCAGAGGTCAAAAAATAACATGGTTCATGTTTTTAAAAATGTCGTATGTGTTGTGGGTTCAGATGAACTGATTCGGAGGCATCTAAAAATCTGTGTCCCTTTCTTTGGTATCTGCAGTCTGCTGTCGGCTTCGAATACCAGGGCAAGACCGAGAAACACGCCTCGCAGAGAGGTAAGCCGCGCTGTGGACGGCCGGGCAGGAGGGAGCGGGGGAGGGCACTGTCACTGGAGGAGGTTTCCTGGGGACGGCCGTGATCCCTGAGTGTCCATGTCGTCATGGTGCCTCCCAGGCTGCGACAGAGGCTGCCTTCTCCCTTCTGAGCGGCGTTGTCCTGGGAGAGTTGGTCTCCGGCGTGGCTGGTGACGAGCTCACTGCCCCTAGCAGTGGGAACCGGAGCCCTCCGATCCCTAATGCTTTACTCCCCGCGTGGTCCTCACACGGCGCCCATGACCTTCGAGTCGTGCCGCCTCCTAAAGCCTCTTTCTGAAAGCGGAAGCACGTCCCTTTCTGCAAGTGCTTGATGCGGTCTTCACGCACGCGCGGGCTTACACCTGTGTCTTGCATGTCACCGGGCGGCCCGGGAGCGGGCGCGCTGTCCGTTTGGCCTGGCCTGGCCCGGACCGGACCTCCGCAGCCCCTTTGGGAAGGGGTGAGCCATGCGGCTCTCCGTGCTCCGGCGGCTCGTTTCCCAGCTGGGACCGCAGCTCTCGTGTGCTGTTCACGGGTGCCGGGGCAGCACTGGAGACGGAGTTGGGGTCACTCGTGGGTGATCCTGGGTGGGGAGTGTTTTAAGCTGTGCGCTTGATCTCTTGCCGAGTCCTGACTCTGACACATGTTTGTCTTGCTGGGTCGAAGAGCCAAAGTGACAGTTGAGGCTGTTACTGGGCTCCTCGACCGACCGCTGCGGTATCTCCGCAGACTACTCGAGCGGCTTCGGCGGCAAGTACGGCGTGCAGGCCGACCGCGTGGACAAGAGCGCCGTGGGCTTCGACTACCAGGGCAAGACGGAGAAGCACGAGTCGCAGAAAGGTAAGGCCAGCGCGGGGCCTGCCTCCCTCCCCCTCCGTCCCGCGCGCGCAGTGTCTGTCCGCCCCGGGGAATTTCCTCCTCCGTGCCGGCAGCTCGCGTGACCCTTGCACAGCCTTGTTTGCTGCACGCATGGGGACGCTCTTGTCCCACTCAGGTCAGCGTAGGGATTTGTCTGTGTCGACTGCTCTGTCCCCGTCGCGCGGAGAAGCTACAAGCATGGAACCATGCCTCCTTAGAACGTGAAATTGAGCTCATTTGCAATTTTTGAAGCCAAAAATCGACCACAGTGAATGTTCTTGTCCATTTGTCTCATCCCTAAGTGATCATTTAACACAAAGTTTCGAGAAATGGAACTGCCGGGTCAGAGGACGTTGACTTCAAAGTTCAGGAGGCAACCTCACATTGGCCTCACCCGCCGGCTGGTTTTTCCCTCCGTTGTTGGGGATCCTGCCCGGCGAGGGGTCTCCCCATGCGGCATTTACGGGTGCAGCCCCTCCCACGAAGGCCCTGGGAGCTCCCTTCTTCGCTTGGTTTTGTCTGGCTTGCATATTTAAATTTTTTTAAGGTTTTTTACTTTATTTATTTATTTATTTATAAAATATTTTATTTATTTGACAGACAGAGATCACAATTAGGCAGAGAGGCAGTCAGAGAGAGAGGAAGGGAAGCAGGCTTCCTGCTGAGCAGAGAGCCCGATGCGGGGCTCGATCCCAGGACCCTGGGATCATGACCTGAGCCGAAGGCAGAGGCTTTAACCCACTGAGCCACCCAGGCGCCCCAGGGTTTTTTTTTTTTTTTTTTTTTTTTAAAGTAATCTGTGTACCCAGTGTGGGGCTCGAGCTCACAACCCCAAGATCAGGAGCCCCATGCTCCACCAGCTGGGCACCCTTATACACTGAAATTGATAAACACAGTTTCCAACATGTAAAAACAGAGCTCACGTCTAATTTAAAAATTCTGATTTCTTTTTTCTAAGATTGATTGATTTATTTGAGAGAGTGACTGAGAGAGAGCATGAGTGGAGGGGGGACAGAGGGAGAGGGAGAAGCAGACTCCCCACTGAGCAGGGAGCCCAGCGTGGGGCTCCATCCCAGGAGCCTGAGATCATGACCTGAGCTGAGGCAGACAGTTAACTGACTGAGCCCCCCAGGCGCCCCTAAAAACCCAGATTCCTCTAAGAGACAGAAGTCCACACTGGAAGTGCTGCTGGCTGGGCATTCCCCAGGGAAGCAGCCGCAAGCCTGGGGGCAGCTGGGCCTCTGCCTTGCCATGGGCATCGCCGAGCACGCCCCGCAGGGTCACGTGCAGCTCAGCCTTCTCTGTCCGCTTGTCGCAGACCTGTGCTCTGCTGCTCAGTATGGCGCGCGGCCTGCGCATCGGGGCCCGCCCTGGGGTCCACTCGGTGCTCTTCAGACTTTCTCTGCCACAAACCCTTGAAGAAGAACAAAAACTGCTTCTGGGCAGTCGGGGAGCGGAGGCCAGAGCACGTGGGGGCAGACAGGCCTCTGCAGCCCAGGCCTTCCCCCGAGGGGCCAATTGCCGTGGTCTGCTCCGAGAGGGGTCCTGGGAGAGCCCTGCTTAAGTGTCGAGATGGGTGTGTCAGTGGCCTCGCTGTGGCGTAGAAGGGATGCTTCTGGGAGACGCTCTGTGTGTGTCCTCATCTTGCTGGCTCTTGTTGAGGCAGCGGAGCGACCCCATGAGAGCTGCTGGCTTGGTGGCTCCTCTCATGCCTAGGAGATTTTTATAGCACGTGTCTGTCTGCCTGTTTTTTTTTTTGTTTTTTGTTTTTTTTTTTTTAACTTAAATTCAGTCAGTTGACACACGGTGTTTTGCCGGTTTCAGAGGCAGAGCTCAGGGATTTATCGATCGCCTGTCACGCCAGTGCTCATTCCGTCTCCTGCCCTCCCCAGTGCCCCTCAGCAGTCACTCCAGCCCTCCACCCGCCTCCCCTCCAGCAGCCCTTGGTTTGTTTCCGAGTTAAGAGTCCGTTATGATTCGTCTCCCTCTGTGATCTTGTCTTTATTTTTCCCTCCCTTCCCTGGTGCTTCTCTGTTTCGTTTCTTAAAATCCACATATGAGTGAGATCACATAATTGTCTTTCTCTGATCTAACTTCACTGAGCACGATACCCTCTAGTTCCACGCACATCATTGCAGACGGCAAGATCGCGTTCCTTTCGATGGCTGCGTAGTATTCCATTGTGTATATTGACCACATCTTTACCGTTCATTAGTCGATGGGCCTCTGGGCTCTTTCTTTTTCTTTCTTTTTTTTTTTTTTTAAAGATTTTATTTATTTGACAGACAGAGATCACAAGTAGGCAGAGAGGCAGGCAGAGAGAGAGGAGGAAGCAGGCTCCCCGCTGAGCAGAGAACCCGATATGGGGCTCGATCCCAGGACCCCGGGACCATGACCCGAGCCGAAGGCAGAGGCTTTAACCCACTGAGCCACCCAGGCTCCCCTGGGCTCTTTCCACAGTTCGGCGATTGTGGACATTGCTGCTGTGAACGTTGGGGTGCACGTGCCCCTTTTTCTCACTATCTCTTAATCTTTGCACTAAGTACCCAGTAGTGTGATTGCTGGGTCATAGGGCAGCTCTATTTTTAGCTTCTCGGGGAGCCTCCGTACTGTTTTCCAGAGTGACTGCGCCAGCTCGCATTCCCGCCAGCAGCACAAGAGGGCTCCCCCTTCTCCACTTCCTCGCCCACATCTAACACGCTCATTTTGTGATCTCCTTCGGAATGGAGGAGAGATACGACTGTTGTTACAGTCTGTTGTCCTTGCTACTGTTCACGTTTCTGTTACGTACACAAGTAATGCTCTCCAGCGTCTCCCGTGTTAGTGACCTTACAGTGCGCCTGAAAGACTTTCGGCTTGTGTTGTGTTGTTTTAAACTGGGTGAAAGGAGTACTTTCTCAGATCGGCTCGCTGATTGTGTTGCTGGCTTGTGAACAGTACCTTTCTCGTGTGCAGATTACTCCAAGGGCTTCGGCGGCAAGTATGGTATCGACAAGGACAAGGTGGACAAGAGCGCCGTGGGCTTCGAGTACCAGGGCAAGACGGAGAAGCACGAGTCGCAGAAAGGTGCGTCCCATTTTCTCTTCTCTCGCCGGCAGCTGGTGGCCTGATGAGGGTGGCCAGAACAGAGGGGGACAGCGTCACGGGGAGGGAACCCCTGAAGTTAGATGCCTCTTTGTAATTCAGTCCTGCACCTGGAAATAGCGGGTCCCCAGCACAGCTGTTAAATGAGGAAACCATATCCTGACACATCTTCAGCCCTGGCACCCCAGTCGCTGCCTGTGATAACGGCTGCGTGTCGCGCGTCTGGGTTGTAAACGGGGAGGCGTGGCGGCTCGCTGGGGCTGCTTTGGGTCGCGTGTCTTGGAACTTGGTATGCGGGGTCCTCTGTGTGCTCCCAGTGCCGAGAGTACAGGTCAGGCTGCTTTCCAGACGCTCTCGAGGAGGCTCTCTTCCTGCGGGAGGAGCGAGCATGGGTGTAGCAGGTTGTGTGTGTCTGCCTGTACCGGGAACTCGCTGCCCGTGCTCCCTGCTGACACCAGACCGTGGTCTTTTCTTGTGTGTGTAGACTATGTGAAAGGGTTTGGAGGAAAATTCGGTGTACAGACAGACAGACAAGACAAATGTGCTCTTGGCTGGGATCACCAGGAGAAATTGCAGCTGCACGAATCCCAAAAAGGTAACGTTTATTATGCTGGCTCCTACTTGAGAACATTCCAGAAGTTAGTTTGTTTCCGTCCACAGGTCCGCCATTGTGCTGTGTTCTTGCTACATTTCTGTCGTGTGTCCTTTTCTCTCCACTGTTTGGGGTTGTCCTCTGCCTGCCACGTTTTTGAAAACCTCCCCAGCTAGTGTAGTGATGAGCCCTCCTCCCCTGGGAGCTGCTATGATAAGGGGGCGCCGTGCCCACCTGTGCTCCTGGAGCATCCTGGGAATGCTGTTTCCTGCCCGTGTGCGCAGTCCCACTGACCAGGTGTGCCGCGGCCGCTGCCTGCGCCCAACAGCGCGTTCCCGTCAGGACAAGCACCGTCCCTGGGACTCAGGCTGTGGGCTGGGGTGTAGCCCTGCCATGTGTGCCCCGGCCTTGCACCCGCCCTTGCAGCCAGCACACGTGAAAGGGGGGCCGACCTGCGGGGCCCTGTGGTACTTGTGCACAGTGTGTCTCTGCCTTACACGCACAGAGATGCACTCTCGGGTCCGCAGCGCAGGTAGGACCCCAGAAGGAGACCTCAGAGCATGGAGTGCTTTTCTGGAATGATTTCATTTGCAGTTCCTAACCTCTCTTCAGACCCGGGCTGAGGTGTCACGACTTTCAGTGTGTCCTGTGGCCTCAACGCTGACTCGGGCCTGTGTGTGAGCCCGGGAGCTGGCTCCGGCCCCAGGCTCCATGGAGCTCTGCCTTTAGTACCTGTGCTGCCAAAGCGAGCACAAGCTCTGCGTTCTCCAGAGGACGTGTGTGATGCCTGCACTTGCTGATACGATCCTAACCAGACTGTGTTTCCTCTCTCGGTTTTCCCCACTGTTGCTTGTGGATTTTCAGATTATAAGGCTGGTTTCGGAGGCAGATTTGGTGTTCAGTCCGAGAGGCAGGACTCCTGTGCTGTGGGGTTTGATTACAAGGAGAGACTGGCCAAGCACGAGTCCCAGCAAGGCATAGTCGCTCACCAGCCCCACCCCCCCTCCCCCCCTCCAGTGCAGCCGCCTCTAGCACGGACTTCAGGGGCTCAGCCTTCCGAGTTAGCCGCTGGCAGGGGCACATGGCTGTTTTCAGCCCGGTTTGGGGCTGGGGTGATTCCGACTTGCAGCCCTTTCTGCCCCTGCCCTTTAGAACTTGCGTCTGGTAAGAGGAGTTGTTCTTAGGGTAACGTCCTCCTAACCCTGTAACATGACGAGGGGTGGGGTGGGCTGTCTTTGATCTCCCAGGAGATCCTGCCGCTGACCGTGACCTCTTGGAGTCACCCAAGTAGCTGTTTGGTTCGCCTGGCCCCGAGCCTTCGTGTTCTGTGTGGTCTCTGTGTTTCCCTTGTGGTGGTGTCCTTGGCTGGGGTGGGGATATTGTCTTTTTGTTTTTGCGTTTTGGTGACACCATCTACGCGTGACTTTTTGCACAGAACCACTGATACGTGCTCAAAACGGGGAAGAAACGAAATTTCTAGATGTAGGTATTAGGACTCTGGCCAGCGTGTTTTCTTTAATGACCGTTCAGTCTTTTTTTTTTTTAAAGATTTTATTTATTTATTTGACAGAGATCACAAGTAGGCAGAGGCAGGCAGAGAGTGGGGGGAGGCAGGCACCCCACCCAGCAGAGAACCCGATGCGGGGCTCAATCCCAGGACTCTGAGATCATGACCTGAACCGAAGTCAGAGGCTTTAACCCACTGAGCCACCCAGGTGCCGCTAATGACCGTTCAATCTTTAACCGAGTTGTTAGAACGGGGAGTGCGGCTGGGAAAGGAGTGATGGCCTGAGATCTGGGGGCGAAGCTCAGGTGTCCGGTGCCAGGGTCCCGGCGGGGTGGGAGCACGCACTTGGGTTCATCCTGGAGATGGCATGGGGACAGCCTCAGGTCTCCATGGCAGCGCTGCGTGATGCCATGACTGCCCTGTAGACCTGTGTCGCTGGGACATAAGTCTTTGACCAGTAGAATTCCCCCATGGAGTTATTTTTGCTTTTGAAAAAGCGAGAGAAGCCCACGGTTGAGCTTCCTTTTAGCGCTCACAGAGCAGGATACAGGAAGGGCCGCGGCTGGTCAGCCGTTGCTGGGCGGAAGACTGTGCTCTTGAAGCGGTGCCCCCTACCCCCCCGGCCCGCGCTGTGGCCTCCTCGCCCTCACTGCCTGCCCGCCCGCCCGCACCTGGCACCCTTTCCGTCCCTCGGGAGAATGCGGGAAAGCATGCACACGCCTCTTCTCTGCCTCCCACCTGCCTGCCTCCCGAACACCAGTGGTAGAATCCAGACTCGCCTTGCAAGTAAAGGCACATCGTTGGTGGCTCTTTCTTTCTGCGCTGGGTGCATTTTCCTGGGCTGTTTCTGGGTCTGCATGGCTCTGGTGGTGTCGCCGTGCTGCTCCTCGACCCGCAAGTAAGCCTTGTGTTGCGCCTCCTTTCAGACTACTCCAAAGGATTCGGCGGAAAATACGGGGTGCAGAAGGACCGCATGGATAAGGTGAGTGTTTCCGACCCAGGGCTGTCTTCTGCGGACAGTTCGGGAATTGACGGAGGTCCTGCTGGGTGTTGCTCTGGGGATGGTCTCTGGTGGGTGGGGGTTCCCACGTTCGGAAGGACAGACCCTTGAGTGCTGCTGCCCATGTTTCAGGCCTCACCTCGCTTGTTGGGGGTGTCCTGTCCAGGGCCGCGCATGGCCGCGCTGTGAGGCAGATACCGTCCCTGCCCGTTTGGTAGTCGGTGTGTGGCTGGGCCACTGTCAGAACCTGGACACGAGATTCTAGGCCAACGAGACTGACAGCCCAAGAGCGTGTCGCTCTCTGAATTCATCTTAGTAGGAAACCACTTTGGGAACCAGGTTCCTTGGTCGCACGGGCCATGGTAGAAGAGCCCGTTGGCCACGTGTGGGTGCTGGCTGCCACGTTGGGGCCTCCAGATCTGGAACGTCTATGTTGCTGTGGAAGGCCTGTGGCCCAGTGTTCGTCTACAGCCAGAGCCTAAGTGCTGGGCCACCTCTTACAGCGGCCTCCCTGGGATACCCCTGTTCCTCTAGCCAGGGTTTTTGTCCCTTCTGCTGGCTTCAGAGTCTCGGTGGGTCAGTCTTAAGCATGTTTCGGGTGGCTGTTCTCGTTTACGGCCCGACTACATCAGCAGGGTGAACTTAGGAGCTGCCCGCTGGGGACGGGGAGCAGCTGTGTCCTCTCAGGTCCACTGAACAAAGGCAGGCCTTTCTGCCCAGTCCTGTGCCTGGCCCCTGGTCACCAGTGGCAGGGCTGGTCCTCCTTCAGTCTTGCTCCATCAGGCTCAGAGCTGGCCACTTGGATGTTATCACCCTGGGGGACCCTTCACGTGACTGTGTGGGACCTGGCAGCAAGTGGCAGGGGCACAGCCTTGGAAAGAAGGTGTAGGAACTACCCATTTTCCAGTAAACGTGTGCAAGGGGTTCAGAACCAGGCGGTGACATGAGGCTGTCGCCGAGAGAGGTGGGCCCCATGGGACTTGGGTCTGCAGCGGTCCCTGGGGTAGTGGAAGCGGTGAGAGCTGTCCCGCGTCCTGGGCCAGGGGACAGGGAGCTGTGTCCATGTGGGGGAGTAGCAGCAGAGGGAGAGGGTTCTGGTCCGGAAGGAGGAGGGGGGCGCGGTGTTGGGGAGACAGCACAGCTGGGACAAAAGCCCCCAGGGAGGTGGCAGAGACAATCCCGAGCGGCGCTGGAGAACCGGCTGGACGAGGCTGTCACCCTGGGAGCTGCAGGGTAGGGTGAGGGACGGGCATTGGAGACCTTTCTAGAAAGAGGTGTGGCAGACGTGGGCAGTTTTTGGGGGGGCACCTGGAAGGGGCAGAGAGTTTGGCCAGGGCAGCCCAGCAGCTGCACCTGGAGGAGAGGTGGGCATGGCTCGGTGACCCCTGGGTGCGCAGGTGCCTGACTGGATGCCGCTGGGTTGAAAGGGCAGGTGGTGACGGGGGAGGGGAGCTGGGTTGTGTCCCTGTGCCGCCGGCGTTGCACCCCGCAGAGCAGCCACTCTCCCTCAGCCTCGCGTGGCCGTGACCTTCAGCTGCTCACTTCCTGCGGGCCCCTGTCCTCGCTCGTGTGTCAGAAGCAGCTATGTCCTGAGCCCCAGAAGTGTTCCTCCAGGAGGTGTTTATGGGGAAACCGAGGACAGCCGGGGTGCCGGGGGCCTGTCCGTATGCGTCTGAGTCCGGCTCTGGCTGGGCGGTCATCACTGTCACTGCGCTGTGACGGAGTGGGGGCCTCTGCAGTCGGAAGGCTGGGACCTCGCGCATTGGGGACTGGATGACGAGGCCCCGCGAGGCTCCGGTGTGGCCCAGGGCGCCGTCCCTGGCAGAGCAGAGGCTCGGGGTCCCCGCCAATATGCAGGCCTCCCTCGGGGGCCCGGGAGGGTGGGGGGCTTGAGAAGAGCCCATAGTCAGGTTATTGGCACTGACGCCGATGTGTTTGCGGGGTTGGGGGGTGCTTGTTGACTGTTTTCAGAGCGGTTTCAGCAAACACGGGCAGAGCGACAGGCTCTGGTACACCCCTGCTTTCCCTCATGCACAGCCCCTCCCACTGCCAGTTACTAGCTCTCCCGATCCCCCACCGCTGCCGCTCCCCGGGGACACGCGCTCGTACTGCCCACGAGCCTGCACGCACACGTGCTCGTTGCCCAGAGTCCTTGGCTGACATTGGGGTTTGCCCCGGCCTTGCATATCGCATGGGTTTGGGCAGATGCAGGACGCCACGTCCGGTCCCGTGTGGTGTCACACAGGGTCATCTTCCCGCCTGGACACCATCGTGTCCTCCAGGAGGTGGGCGTGAGACCGCTGGGCGCCCCCGGTGGTGCTTTCAGGAGCTGCAGGGCTGGCCCCGACCTTGGGGCGAGGTAGAAGCCCTGGCGGGCTGGAGGGGGCAGGAGAGTGCTCCCCTGATTTTCCCACTTCTGTCTCCATAGAACGCTTCCACGTTCGACGACGTTGCCCAGGTGGCCCCAGCGTATCAGAAGACCGTCCCCGTCGAGGCGGGTAAGTCGTGGCTGGCCCCGGTGCCGCGGTGTTCCCGTCGTGGGCACCGTGTAGGCTAGGAGCGCTGGCGAGCGCCCTGGTCCTACTCACGGCGGGGAAGGGGTTCCTGCATGTCCCCGCAGCCTGTGGCCGCGCTCTGCCACTGGGGGTTTTCTGTGGGGGGGGGCACCTTCCAGAGCAGAGCTGGGCCAGCCACCCATCTGCAAGGGCCCCCCTCACAGCCAGGGACCAGGTTCTGGGAGGTTGTAGTGCCTGCAGGGCCCCCTCCCACCCCGGCTGGCCAGTGAGGCCGGCGAGCCGCGGCTGTGAGGAGCGTGGTGCTTGCTTGCGCAGAAGCTGAAGTAGACGCTCTCGCCCTTTCCCTCTGTGGGTCGTGCACCCGGCTGCCGCCGCCGGCCCTCAGAGCTGGCCGCCGCCAGGGAAGGTGCCATCTACCTGCTCTGGCCACGTGGGCCACACCCTGAGGAGGATCACTGAGTTGGAGAAAACGTGTAGAAAGTGCTAAGTGGAGGAGAGGCAGAGCGTCCCCGTTGTTTCCTGTGGACACCCTGGGTCAGCAGTTCCCAGACCTGGGGGTCTCGGGACTCTCTACCCCTCTACGCTCACAGGGACTGTTGGTGGGCCTTGTGTCTCTTGATCTTGGCTGTAGTGGGATTGAGACACAGGAATTTCAGATTTCGCTTATTCACTTAAAAACGAAACATCCCATGTTGACATCGGAATACTTTTTTTTTTTTAAAGATTTTATTTATTTATTTGACAGACCACAAGTAGGCAGAGAGGTGGGCGGCGAGATGGGGGGAACAGGCCCCCTGTTGAGCAGAGAGCCCGATGCGGGGCTCGATCCCAGGAGCCTGGGATCATGACCTGAGCCAAAAGCAGAGGCTTTAACCCACTGAACCACCCAGGCGCCCCGACATCATAATACTTTTTATGGAAAAAATAACCAAATTTTTGAAGCAAAACCTGTGCCAAAGTGTGGCATTGCTTTGTGTCTTACCAGAGTCCTTACATGAACCTGGGGGGTGTCATGCTCAGAGTAGATACAGGGTTTCCACAATTCTGAATTTTTCTTGGAAGCTTGAGTTTTCCTATTGACGAGAGATAGACTGAGTTGATTTATCTTAGAGAGAAAGCCTGCCAGGTGCACAAGACACACTCCCGTACCTCGTCCGTTATGTCAGAGCGAAACGATGCTCCGTGAAGGGTCCATAAGCTCAGCAAACGAATGGTTTTGCCTGAGACCCTGCCAAGACGTGGTCTGCAGCCCTTCCCCCGCCAAGGAGATGCGCTCGGGGCTTGAGATTTACAGAACAGCAGTGGTCTGCGGAGTCGTCAGGCCCCGTCCTCAGGGAAAACGTTTTGGTCCCCTCCTGAGTGTGTGCTGCCAAAGAACCCAGCGCCGTTTGAAATAGGAAATACTCCCGACGCCAGGCTTGCACCCTCCGGCAGGCCCCTAGAACGTCCGGGAGACGGCGCGGAGGCTGGCCTGGGACGGGTGGGCTGAGCCGGCCACTGGGGGACACCTGCGTGTGATGCCAGGTCCCGCGTGGCGGGCCACCCTGGCTCGGGGCTGGGGTCGGGGGTCACGCTGCCGCTCTGACGCCCAGCATGCATCTCTCCTCCCCTCTGTAGTGAACAGCAGAACAAGCAACATCAGAGCAAATTTCGAAAACCTGGCGAAGGAGAAGGAGCAGGAGGACCGGCGGAAGGCGGAAGCCGAGAGGGCCCAGAGGATGGCAAAGGAGAGACAGGAGCAGGAGGAGGCCCGGAGGCAGCTGCACGTGAGTGTGCCTTCCTGGGCCCCGTGGTCCGGAAGCTTCTCTATGGAAAACGTTCAGAACCCTCGTTTGAGGCTCTGCTCTTCGGAGCTGTGCCCTCAGCCACACACAAGGCGGGCGGAGCCTTTGATGGCCAGGTCCTAGCCGGTCAGCCATGCTGCTCCCGTGCCCGCCGCCCCTGCAGAGCCCCGGACCCCACGTGGTCCTGGCAGTCTCTGTTCTGACCCATGGCCCTCTGGAAGCCCCTTCCTCCTGGGGAGGAGGCTAAGAATACAGAGGGACTCCTTGTGAAGGAGCAGAGCCGCTCTCTGCTTTCTCTCTCAACTCTCTTCTATTTGTACCTGCGTCTGCTGTGTGTGCGCGTCTTTGTTCTGCTGTCGGAGCCGGGAGGAGATTGGGAGCGTTTCTGGGCCTGTTTCTTCCTCCGCCTTCTCCACATGGCCTGCATGTCGGTGGCTATGGTCCCCATGTTAGCAGCGGCCAGCCTGGCAGCCTGAGCCCAGCCGCTCCCTGTGCTGTGGCCTTGCGCTCTCCTGTGGAGCGGAGACGGGGAGCTCACCACCTCTCTCTCTCAGGTAGTTATGAGGCGGAGTCCTAGATAAAGCCTGTGATGTTCTTTCATAAACCGGAAAGCTTTGTTGCACTCTGTAGATGTCTCCTCCCCAAAATCAGTAGTTGGGGCTCAGAGAACCCCCATCGAGAGGGAACAGAGGGTTGAGGAAATGAACGTGCTGTGAGCACCAGAGAGACGAATTAAATAGAATCTGAGGGTTGTTCCATCGCAGGCAGAATAAGAACAAGATTGTGTAATTGCTTCTTGTTTCTGTTCCAGGATTGCTAGAAACGTTTGCAGTCAAATGCTCTACCACTGAGCTGTACCCCCAGTCGCTAGAACTTCTGAATTAGGGGGGTTGCAGGTTAGGTTTTCATGGTTGTCCAGCTCATGGATACACACGCTGTAGGGCTGTTGGTAGTGGTTTCATCGAGTAATGACTGCTTTCCTCATTTTAAGCCTGCACGTTGGGACCGCTGAGCCTCATCGGCATCTGGACGGCTCAGCACGAGCGGGTGGCTTGCGGACGGCTGTCGCCGTGGTTCTGTGTGGCATCTTTGTTTTGCCTTGTCTTGCTGTCCCTTCTGCCGTCCTGTCCTCTGCTTCGAGCCACTGCCCCTCGCCTCTGCTGGTCCTGGGGAGCCGCTCGGACTCCAGAATCCTCTGGGCCATAGGACATTCCCATCGGCAGGCGGGCAAGACTTCACGAATCCACACGCACTGGACTCTCGGGTTGTGCTGGCTCGCGGTGACAAGTTATTGTCTGCGGCCAGTGGCTGTGAGAGGGGCCGTCACAGACCCTCCCCATGGCAGCTCAGGTGTGAAGGGCAGCTCTGTGTCTGGCCGGGCCTGCAGAGCCCACCCAGACACGCCCCCTCCACGGGAACACCCACCCCCAGCCCGGGCGGCTCCAGGCAGCGTGGGAACCTGACTGTCCGGCTGGCGGCAGGGCGGAGGCCAGGGAGGGTTCTGTTCCTGCTTCTGCTGCTTCCTGGCACCGGCCCTCTTGGTCCTCTGTCTCTTCTGCTGTGATATCAGGCTGTCCGCATAGGTTTCCTGGGGCTGCCATCCCACACGATCCCAGACTCTGCCTCGGAGCAGCACACGTGGACCCTCTCTCAGCTCTGGAGGCTGCGAGGAGACCCATTTCCTGGCCTTTTCCAGCTTCTAGAGACACCCGCGTTCTTGGCCCGGGGCCCCTTCCCGGCCTCTGCTTCCGTGGTGACCCTTTCTGATGGGTCTCCCACATGTCTGCGTCCCTCTTGGTGGGAAGGACCCTGTGGTTACATCGGGCCCGCCCCGGGATCCCGGCATTGTCTCCCACCTCCGTCCCCAACTGCTTCCATCCTCTGTCCCTTTGGCCTGCGAGGTCGCCTCTTCCCAGGATCTGGGGACTGGGGTGCCTGCGTCTCTGAGATGCCGGCCCCCACTCTGGCCCCCAAAGATTCCCGTCTGTCCCGCGTGCTTGTAGGTCTGTAGAATCTAAGTTCTGGAGCGACAGCCCAGAGGCTCGAGGCCCTCTTCTGGTCACCTGTGTGAGGTCTGGGCCAGGCACGGGGCGGCCGCCTGCCTGCACCCTGTGCTTTACATGGTGACAGCAGGAGGACTGGGGGCCCCTTAGGTCCTGTGTGTTGATGATGTGAGATCTTCAGTGCACCTTGTGCTAGAGTCTCCGTGCTTAGTCCTCCCCGTGTTCCGCTCTGGTGGTGAGCACGCGGTGGCGTGACCCTGGGTGGACCTTTCTCTGGTCGCCTGACCGCCCCTTGCCTTTCGATTCCAGGAGCAGGCCCGGGCCCAGAAGCCGACGCCCCCAGCCTCCCCGACTCCTCAGCCGGCTCAGGAGAGGCCGCCCCCAAGCCCCGTCTACGAGGTTGGTGTTCTCGCTCAGCGTGCAGATGAGTCTGACCCCCCAAAGACACCCTTCCCGGGTCGATGGGACTGTGCATGGGGTCCCCTACCCCGCTCTGCTTGATGCCCCATCCAAGGGGACGGCCCTTGTGAGTGCTGGGGGGCCCGTGCTGGCACATCCAGCCTCTCCCCATGTGTGTGGCCGCCCCCGCTGGCCTTCCTGGCCCAGCCTGCTCCGTCCCGGGCAGCTGTCCTGATGCCGCGTAGACGATTTCTAGTCTTCGTCTCGCTCGATGCCGCGTAGACGATTTCTAGTCTTCGTCTCGCTCGATGCCGCGTAGACGATTTCTAGTCTTCGTCTCGCTCG